CGTCACTGGCAGCCCCTAAGCTTCTACTAGGGCAACTTTTGGGACAAGCCGTTCACAATCCATTTGATCTTGCTGGAAACCTTCCCCTCGGCGGGTTCTTGGGAATGATCTGCGGTACCCGGCAATTGTTTCTTGTCCATAGGTTCGTATTTGCTCATCTTTTGATTTCCTAGTTTATGACCGCTTGGTCGTGTTCTTTCTCTCATTTTTACTTTTATTATATTTCCATTACCTAAGTCGAGGCGTGTATGATGGAGTCAAGAGGCGGCGATTAGTACCTCGCCAGTGACTTGTATAAGCCTGTGGCTTGTATACGCCCATGGCTATGGTCGAACCAGATGGCGTAAACTGTATTTGAGCAGCCAAAGTTGGGTTTGCAGCCAAGATTGGGTTTGCAGACAAGATTGGGTTTGCAGTCCAAAACATCGAGATTGACCCCTATGCGGTTTAAAGGTGAAACGCTATCCAAGCTTTATCGGAGCATTAGTTTAACTGATACCTATCTTGGTGTATAATCGTTACTGTTTAGATATTTATACTCATGGTTCTACGAGCACATCTAGATCCTACACTGCCGTAGAAACTTTTATGGTCTTTCGCCGACTGCTAATTTAAAGATAGCTTAGCTCTATACCAGACATTGAGATTCATAGTAGGCATCATACGGTGATCTTTTTCATGCCAGTCTCGACTAACCAACTTAACCCATCGAGAATGCACATTCGGTGGAAACGGTGGGAAAAGTATGACAGCAGAAGAACTTCAATCTATAATAGTACGTTTCATGAATAAACCCTCGGAACTTTGGTGTGGATACTTTTACGCAAACATATTCAAGTTCACACCAGAAGCCGCCGATCATTAAGCATGCATGTGCTCGGCATGAAACCGTTTAGAGAATACCGCCTTTTCGGTTTGATTGAGACTTGGCAAGGACACCACAGTGGGGTTATTTTTTATATCCTCTGAAGCTCGAAGTACGCCGGACTATGATAAGAGAATAGCGCTATATCAGCGATGTCCACATGGACTTTCAGATGCTTGGGCACATCATTTATCACTGTCACCGTTAACGGTCATTTCGAGCTGTACTGCTGATTCACAAATCCAACTCAGCATCTTTCATATACCCTGTTCATGTGCGTATACGTAATTAGCAGCTGGCCTATACTTTTTTGAATACCGTTTCTTTTCGTCCGTGAGAACGTGATTTTTGTAGCCCTTAGCTGAGTCATGCAGAGTTTTGGTCAAACTCCGAAACATGACTCCTATATTTCCCAACATCTAAAAGCGGACTAACGGGTATTGCCCCGCTATCAAAGTTAATGTCAACGACAGTTCCTCATTGATAGCATTTGGGAAAAGGATTATTCCCGGCAAACCGCAAGCTTAGGCTCGACAATATATCTAGCAGTATTTCCCTCCGATCCGTTGAGGAGGATGGGCTCTCGGTGCCGTATAGTAAACTCATAGAGTATGCGATGGCTGCTGACGATTCACGCCAGCCTGTGGTGCTACAACCTCTAGCCTAATGGAAGGCTCGTTTCCGAGCCCCCAAACACTCTCTGTCACTAGCGTTAGGGGTCCAAAGAATAAACCAGTATAGTGCTTGCTAGCAATATGAACTGCCTCAAGTTGTTGTTATACGAACAATTTGGTTTAGATCGAATCGGTATTACGCTAATAATTTGATTTAGATCAAACTGGTGTTGCAGCTTCACCTTTCTCGGGCTTTCCGAGGGTTCGGAATTACATTGGCTCTCCTGGACATGTGCATGCGCTCGCACAATTGTGCCAAACATTAACCCACATAGCAAGTGGGCTCTATTGCTTATGCGCGTCAATTCTGCATCACCTCAAATCACGTGGCATATTCTTATCTGCGCATTAGTACGCCTCGCCCGGGAGTGCACATTTAAATCCTGTGTGCAGAGAATATGCACGTTCCACCCCCGTGTGTCACCTGTCAATTCCCCATCCTCACTGACTCGGAGCGAATTCCCTGAAATTTTTCACTCGGTCGAGGCCCTCGTCGTTAGCTCGCGACAGGTATCCGGCAGGTATGCGAGATTTTGACAGGAACGGCAAAGCCTGCCGGTACCGGCGCTGAACCCAGAAGAAAGCTAAAAAACCTACAGCTAGCGCTCTCCCCCCCAAATTGAATTCCTTAAACACACCTAAGGGGCGATCCCAACCGTTACCGATAACCCTAAACCTGACAGGTTTTATCGCGTAGACGCCCTTAGACCTACACGGTTCAAATGTATCAGAATATATAACAGCACAAAAGAAAGCAGAAATTACACAAAAACCAATAGACCAGCTGTTAGAAATAAATATATGTTACACAGGGCTTATCCCCCTCATCTCGCTTCCTTCATACCGCCAACCTTGCGTCTCCTGGCGTTGATAAACCAATTGCCCAACTGCTGGGCATTCAAGCCAGTCTCGAACATCAACTGCTGTTTCTCCATGTTGGTAGGATAGGGGTGGTGCAAATTCTGCTCGAGCCATTTGAGCAAGATCGTGGTGGTTTTCTTAGGCAAGTTGTATCTCTTCTTCTTGGACGAGCTCGACGAGCCCGAATCGCTGTCAGAGTTGCCTTCGTACTTCGCAGAAGATACGGAGCTTGGGGAGTCGGGCTCGTCTTTGTTGTGAATCAAGGATGAGAGTGTGTGGCTGCAGGCCGTGGCTGGCGAGATGTTGCCGAAAGAAGAGGTTCCCGGGAGCTTTTTCGAGACTCTGTAGGAGTTCAGTCTGGAAGGCCCTGGAAACGGGCCCTTGTGGGTGTTGTTGTGGTAGCCGTGGTCAAAAAAGTCCATCGACGACACAGACGGAGACCGGGAGATCGGAGAAGAGATTAACGAGTGGGAAGAGGCGGAGGAAGTGGAGTGCGGGCGGGAAGAGATCAAGCTAGGAGGGCGCAGAGGGAAACATGACGATGAGGATAAAGAATAGGAGGAAGGGGACGCAGAAGCAGACGAAAGAGACGATTTATCATCGAAAAACGCAGCGTCTCTATGGATGTCCGGCAAGATCTCCCTGATGGAAGGTAAGGTGACGTTAGAAGCATGATGAAGCGGCGGCAACTGGATCTTTTTATCATTCAGCTTGTTGCTAAAAGAGTAAAACTGGTCGATTGGCGTGACAACCAGGTCTAGCTTTCTGACCGTAGAAAACGATGAGCTGTCGGAGCGACAAAGTGCGAGCGGACTTTGACGGGGAGCGGCGTCTGACATCATGTTTGATAGTTCCATAGTGTGAATATATTGTGGGAAAGTTGAGCGTACCGACCAACGGCTGAGGTTCAAAATGGAGAGTGTTGCATTATATATATGTATAAATTTCACGCTTACGTCTACGTCCTGAAAGTGAAGGATCTACTTTAAAAAGAAACGCAATCGCAGTCAGGGTTAGGCTAAATTGGCCGCAAAAGCGACCTTATTCCGCTGTTTCCCCCGCCGTTTCAACGAGAACCGGGACATGCACGGATCGAAGCCGTACTGCGCATACTACAGCTTGCAGGATCCAGAGGCCGCCAAAAATTGCGCCGCTTAGCACACGTCGCTCATATGTGATTGGTAATCCTCGTGCATGTGCATGCGTTGGCAGGGCTTGACACATTTACCCTCGGTCTGTGCCGGTGCGCGAATAATCAGTACAGTACCCTCACTAGGCCCAGGGTCACTCCGGGCAGCAGGCACTTTTTTCAGTCAGACGAGTAGGGTTCGCCGTGTCACTACAGGGTGTAGAAGCTATCCGTGACTGGTATAACCCAAAACTGTATTTACCCTGATCAACAGATGAAGGAGGGGGCTTACCGACGACGTCTATTCTGAAGAGGGCGTGCCAACCATGTAAGTCCTGGCCTCTCACGGCCAAGCTAGGGCTGGTGTTATGACATGACGCGTGGTTTATTTCTTTTTGACCGAGCTCAAAGCAATGGCCATTCTCCTTCGCTGTGCATACGGAAACGAGGAGACTGTTACTACCCCTCTTTCCATGTAGCTGCATGTTGTGCGATAGGATAGCCACACCGCTGCGAGGAGCGGATGTGGCGTGCTGGGAGACTATTGACGGGATTGATCTCCTGCGCGCTTTGCGCTGCTGCCATTGGCTGTTGCCTTATCAGAGTTTGTATGCAAGCACACTATGCCGGATAATGTCACATATCTAAAAGGGGCCGCATAAGTGATGGGAGTTCCGGTCCCAGACAGAAATCGAGATATTGGACGCATCCCCTGTCTAAATCTTACGTGTGTTTCCAGCCAGATTTCAAGCTCGTTCATTAATCTACTGCTGAGGAATATGACGGTTATTGATAAAACCAGAAGGTAGATCATAAAGGGCAGATCATAAATGACAGATCATAAGGGGCAGATCATGAAGGATAATCAACTGCGTTGTATTCAGATTCAGCTAAGAACTAGCCGCTGCTTCATTCACCGATGTTTCGTTGAGGATCTCTCGACGCTGACTGTACAGGATAGAGAGAAGTACGTTACTCCCCGGGCGAGAGCTTGCGTTAGAAATGTTACATGCCATGTGAAACTCTAATCCGCTGAGTTAATTACCGCCAAACCTTAACGGCCTCGAGGGACCACACCACAGACTTGGACAAACCACATGCAGAAACCCCATTGTGGTAATTTACCCGCGCAACCGAAAAAGCTGACTGCTAGCCTGGTAGATACTAGGCGTATATGCAGGCTTGGTTTTTTATCGCGGTGCCCAAACTTACGTGTGTTTCCGGCATAGCCCTGGTGTCAGAAGGTTAAGGTTGGTCCTCTCTACCTTGACAAAGCCCTGGCTAAATATTCCACGCCAGCTTTAAGGTTATGTTCTATCGCTTCACTTCCCTATCTAGGGGCAAGTCCGCAGCGTAGACCTGTGCCGAAAAGTCCTGCAATATGTCTCTTTCGTCGCACGATACAAAGGTCTATCTTGCCTGGGTGACACAGAGTTTGTACCCATGTATACTTTGAGAGTCATCCATGTCGTATCTGAGAATGGAATATCACGTTGGGAAAAGGAACGAGACGAGCCAGAAGCAATTATCGACAAGCGCGTACGTGCCTGCATGCATGTGGGGGAGAGGATTTAGAAAGGAGTCGGCTAAGTCTGTGGAAAGCTTTCGTTCAACGGAGCCTTCGCTGTCAGCATGTAGTTCCACCGCGAGATTTCTCAGGCTGATTTTGTTATTGTTGATCTTGGTTCCTAATAGCTGCACTATCAACCTGGATATTGGCAGAACATTGTTTGGTGGATTGCTGGTCTGCACCTCTGCCTCGTGCAGCTTAAGCTGTAGGAGCGTAGTCGCTGCCTCTGGAAAGAGCAAGGGTAAATATAAAAAAGAGGTATTATGGGACATTACAAATTCCGAAGCAACCCATGCTTGAGTAGCTCGAACTGCTAGTGGATAATTCTTGTCTGTAAACCTTGAGGAAAGCTCTAACTGCCGGACCAGCCTTGCTAGCGTCCCAACACCACCGTCTGGTAGATTTGACAGGATAGTGCAAAGTCCGAAAGTGACGGTTTCTAGTCTGTCCGGTAATTCTGGTTCCGCCTCGCGCAGGATACTAGCCATGTCGCAGGCATAATTGCTGGATCTACGGCTAGCCGTCACAGGCTGAAGCTCTGGCGCATCGGAAACGGCGATGAACAACACTTGTGATGTGGATCGTTCGCTGAAGTCTTGTCATTGGAAGTTGGACTCTGGGAGGACACGGGGAGTTGAGGTGGGGCTGGCATATGAATGGCGATGGCTTAGTGCGGGATGTATTTGGCATACGCCAAGATAAAATTCTGTTACCTTACATGATTATAACCGAGTCGTGGTTTGATATTCGTGTAGGTAGCTGCGACACTGGAATTTCAAGTAGGTGCTTGGGTTTTGAAACGATATGTAGAGCTACTCTAGGATGAGTAGCGAGAATCCCCTAAAAAATCTGCTATTTGCTAATATATCTTAGTATTGTTTTTGGAGTGACGTAAAGTTGTTTGATTGGAACCTCCTACACAGTTTCAACCTTAAGCGTAAAGCTGTATGTATAGGAAGTGAGGGTGTATATGCGACAGTAACTGACATACGAATATGTAAACTATATAATATATATATAGCAAACTTACTCGGAACATGTAACATACATCTAAAACTTACTTACGTATACGCTCATCAAATTATATACATATATATGCACAGTGAATATATAACAATTGTAGCTAGGTAATGCAAACGTTAGCACAGCTAATTATACTCCCTAACAAAAACGTGTTAAAAACCACACATTATATATACAGCTGGAGCGTTAGGCAGCTCACATACACATCTATCGATAACTGGAATTTTCACGCCATGACTTTCTTGCGCATACATCAACTATGCAAAAAGCCGCTACCGTTGGTGCGGCGGAAGTCCACGGGCTTTCGCATCCAGAATTCCAAGACTGTCAATTTTTTTCCGACCAAGCAGCGGGTGGATAATATATCACAAGAGAAGTCTACTCCCAACTTTGAGTGTGTTCGGATCTCCCCTAAGCAGAGCACTCAGCGCACATCCGGCCTCTATTTTTCGCTACGCAAAACTGACATTTTTTTTGCCTGACCTCAAACCCGAAATTAGCCGCCCATTTCACCCTTTTGCGTTCCCACTACAAAAGCACAACGTCAGCACTTGCTACACGTGTCATACGCTTTATTGCCAGACGTGCCCCCTTCGCTCCAAGCATCTCATCGTTCGTCATATTCGGGCTTCCCTATAGAAAAGTCTGATTTCGCTACGCTACAAGTTTGCCAGCACCACCCACCAGGCTGATCTGATCGTCTGACAGTTATAATAGCGACCATTACTATCCATCAGACCTTCCCTAAACCTTTTGAAGGTGACCATTTAGATAGCCTACAAGCTTGCCATTTGCCAGCGCAGCCTACAGAGAACAGACTCCAAACTGTGATCTGCAAAATTTGGTACCACCAACACCTCTTCCGCTAGAGAACCCTCATTCTGCATCACCCCAGTTTCCCATTTCCGCTTCATATCATGTCTAGACCAAAGAGAAAGGCCACCCAGGCCGTGACCTACAATGAACAAGCATTTTCCTCGGACCTCGAGAAGTTGATCAAACAAGAACACACCAACGCCCGCAAAAAGCAGCAGACCAAGTCGGGTAGCACGCCACCCGCGCCCGCGGGCCCTCTCGCGATCCCCGCAGTGACAGACGTGCCGCTTAACTGGCAGCCGCCAGCGTCGCAGCTCTTGGACCCGGGCTCGAGCCTTTTGAACCTCGAAACCGCGCGCATCTCCAAGGACCGACTCTCGCTTGTCGACGACAGCATCACTCTCCGCAAGAACGACTACATCTACATGCTCTGCGAGCCGCCGGGCGAGCCGTACTATATCGGACGCATCATGAGCTTTGTGCCTCGGGCTGGCGCGAGCGCGCGCGCGACGGCCGCACGCGACTTCCAATTCCGCATCAACTGGCTCTACCGGCCGCGCGACATCCCGCGTGATTCCGCTGACTCGCGTATGCTCTACATCACGATGCACTCAGACGTGTGTCCGCTCAGCACCTTCCGCGGAAAGGTGGTGGTGCGTCACCGCGACGAGGTGGGCGTGCTCGACGACTACCGCGCACGCCCCAACCACTTTTACTTCAACAAGCTCTTTGACCGCTATATGGTGCGCTTCTATGAGGTGTTGTGCGTGGCGCTCTTGGAGCCGCGACTCACTCCGAACTATTTTGCTGCGTTGCACAAACGCTTCCCGTACGTTTTTATGGAGACTACGACTGCCTCTGCCGAAAGCATTCTCGCAAAGATGATGCATCTGAACTGTGAGGTATGCCACCAGTGGCTGGGTGCCGCCGAGGATGACACCAACGCGTTAGTCAGCTGCACGCAGTGCGACAAGCACTTCCACATGTTGTGCTTGGATCCGCCATTGGCACGTAAGCCCAGTAAGGGCTTTGGCTGGTACTGTGTGGGGTGCACCAGAAAGTACCACGAAGAGCAGGAACTGACGGAGACGAGGTCTTTTGAAGAGAGCTTTGTGAAGGATTCCTCCGAGGAGAGGGCTTCAGATCCCGAGACGACGAAGGAGGAACAGCCTTCAGCGGTCATGCCTTACCAGGAAATGATTGCGGCTCGGTTCCTCGCGCGCGATGCGGGCGTTTCGTTTGCGGCGCGCCGTGACTTGGAGGAGTGGCCGTACCACTACCTCGGGCTCCATGCGAACATCATCGACATCATCCACCCGGACCACCAGTCTGTGGACAACCCATATCCGCGCGCCAAGTCGCGCTTGAGTGTGGCTAAGCACCAGGCAAGCGTGGAGGACTGGGAGGGCCACCACGAGGTGTACTACGACGTGGAGGATGCCGCGCCCGACAGCAAGAAGAAGAAGGTTGACGCGAAGAAGAAGAAATCGCCGCTGGCGGAAAAGAAGGGGGACCAAAAGGACACTGAGGCGCACTCAGCGCTCTTCCACCGGTTGGCCGTTCCCGACGAATATCGCGACACGGACCCCGCGGACTATCCCGCGTGGTTGAAACCCAGACCCCACGGGTACGTTGAGCGGGGGGGAGACGTGACGGCCGAGTTGTTATGGACGTCGCCTGCGGAGTACTGCGCGCCCCGGGGCGAAGGCTTGGCGGACTTTGAGAACCCTCGCGACAGCATCGAGGAGTACTTGCGTGCGTGTTCGCCTCATGCCGCGCGGCTAGACGTGCTTGTGACGTCACCCAACTTTATGGACGCCTGTCTCAAGGCGTATCTCGACAGCGGATACCAACGAGGACCTGCGCTCGCAGTGGTAGCGCGGCTCACGCGTGCACGCCTCAAGGAGCCCACATTCAGTAAGAAAGAGGTGGAGAAGTTCGAGGGGGCCGTTGCAGAGTTCGGCAGCGAGTTGTTTGATGTACACAGAGCCGTGGGATCGCAGTCCATGGGCATGGTGGTGCGCTTCTACTACATGTGGAAGAAGTGTCCGAATGGCCGCCGCATCTGGGGCAACTTCGAGGGCCGGCAGAGCAAGAAGTTGGCCAAGCAGCAGAAGCAGAGCGGTACCAAGAAGCCTAAGGCGCTGCTTGACCTGATTGCAGACTCTGGCGACGACTCCGCCTACGATCCACGCAAGGCCACTCCGCGTGCGTTCGTGTGCAAGTTCTGCACGACCGACGTGTCCACGCAGTGGTTTCGTGCATCGGGCGCGCACCTCCTTGCGCCCGAAGACAAGAACGCCGTGGTGGTGTCATTGTGTCAGCGATGCGCGCGCATCTGGCACCGCTATGCCGTCAGGTGGGAGTCGCCAGCCGCGATGTTGAAGAGGCCATCCAAGGGCGGGAAGCTCCAGGAGATGGAGCTAGTCCAGGACGCAGAGTTGATCTTGCGGAAGATGAATGGGCTTCCTGCTAAGCCGAGATCAAGGGCGGTGTCTGAACCAAAGACCGTGTCTGCACCAAAGGCCACACCTGAACCAAGGGCCGCGCCTAAGCCAAGGGCTGAGCCCAAGCCAAAGGCTGCAAGACCAAAGGTCGAGCCCAAGGCCTCGCCGTCGCCCCAGTTAACGACAGTACCGGAATCCCCTATAAAGGCAAAGAAAAAGTCGGCGGCAAGAGCCCGTGCGGCGGTCTCATCTGCCCTTACAACTGACCAGAGCGGGAAGTCGTCGTTCCAGGTAAACATCCGCACCTCACCGAAGCCGCGTAAGCGCAAAAGTGTCAAGCTTGAGGAGCTCGTGCTTCCTGAGGATAAGCCCAAGGGCCGGAGAAAGCCATATGCGGCGGACCGGCCTGCTACGATCGTCCAGGTCGCCCCTAAGGACACGTTTGTGCTTCCGCTCTTTGACCCGGTGCTGCGGCCGTGCTGTGTATGCCGCCAGAAGGACGATCTCGGCGAGGTGGTGATCTGTGTCAACTGCGGACTCAACGTGCACGCGTCGTGCTACGGCGTGACCGCACCCAAGGTCGCGCCGCTCAGCGGCTTCAAGTGGTACTGTGACCTGTGCTCCAACGATCTTAACCCCGTGGTGTCGACATACTACACATGCTGCCTCTGTCCCGCGCGAGAGATCGACCACGACAGCGCCATCGCAGGCCACGCGTCCGCGGTGCCGGACGCGCTCAAGCGCACTGCCAGTCAGCGGTGGTGTCACGTGTTGTGCGCACTCTTTGCACCGCAGGTCAAGTTTGGCAGCGTCGACACGCTCCAGCCGGTGCTCAACACGATCAAGACCCTTATGCTCGGTGGTATGAAGAACTGCACGCTCTGTCTCGGACGTGGCGGTGCGCTCGTGAAGTGCTCCAAGTGCCCCGACAGCGCCGCCGCGACGGTCGCGCATGTGACGTGCGCGCAGGATCTCCTCGGGAACTTCTTGGGGTTTGAGATGGAGGACTGTGATGACAAGTCGCGCTGCGTGAAGCTCGATGAGGGTCAGGGCAGCATCATTATTGGCAAGCCGGTGCTTCTGTTTGTGTGCTCCAAGCACATGCTTGACATTGGCTTGTCCATCAAAATCTTTCCGCTCCGCACCAAGGCACAGCGTTTGGTCAAGAGCCCCAAGCTCGAGACGTTGATGAGCATCTACTTGCGCCAGGAGAAGCGCAACGCGAAGCATGCGCTGGGCGTCCAAGCGCGCTGCCACGAGTACGCGGAGCTCCTCAACATCGCACGCAGGGTAGAACTGGAATACGGCACGCCCGACTCGCAGCTCCAGAGCCAGCAGGGCTACATCAACTTTCCGTTCCTCACGGACGAGCAGATTCTCGGAACTGAGGCTGAGGAGGTGGACCGCGCCAGTACGAGCTGTCTGGAGTGCCATATCGGCTACTCACCCAAGTGGTGGAGCGTTATAGATGGGGTATTGTGCCATTTGTGCCACTTTAAGACGCTCAACCGCAGCGCGAGTCCTCAGGACAGTGATTCGCAGGACTCGCAGCAGCGCGAGGTGGCGTTTGGCCGATTGTTACACACGGTGAATCAGCCGTTACACGGCCAGACGTATGGCATTATTGACCCCCATGACCGGCTTCACTTTATGGATGAGTTCTGGCGGGCATTACCAGAAGCAAATTGAGGGAGTTGTGTCTTTTTTTCACCAGCACGGGCTGTTTTTAGAGAATAGAAGGTTGTGGTACATTTGAAGGGATTTAGCCGTAAGAGTACATGCTGGATTTATTGGATCTAGAATAGTTTTAATTAGCTCTACAAACAAATCGTCTGAACCTTATAAGTCAGTAGGTAAGATATAGCTATGGTTAGGGTCCCCTCATCGAATCATCTTGCTAGATCGTGTAGACCTGGATGATTGATTTTGTGGTTAGGATATGTCACACGGAGTTAAAAGTGGTCGCACCGAGATAAAGGTGGTCATTACATTGTCTCACGAGGTATATGAAAGTAAAGCGAGACAAACTATAGAGATATCACTAATTAATAGCTTAAGCAATAAACAATTTCCGGTTTAGCCCTGAGTTATGCTTCAATAAACCCTCCTTTCTGTCTCAACACTATATTTATTTAAAGTACATGCAAATTATAATATACAACAACCCAAAGACTCCACCTAGGAGAACAAGGTGTCTTCCTCTCTCAAGTACTCACCGACATCGGACTGTCTGAAGGCGACGATACTGTTTGGCTGTAAGCCCCTGGCCTCGGTGGTGGACTTGGCAGACACGCCGAACCCTAACGGAATATCGTGCATGGAGTACACGACGACACCGGCGTGCTCTGGAATATCATCAGACATCTTCCCGATATGGGCCTTCAAGACGTGGTTCCCGTACAAGAACGGCATCTCACCGTTCTGCTTGATCCAGACCTTGTACTTGGCGTACTGCGCGAGGTACGACAAGGCAGTGATGTGCAATCTGAAGTTACCGGTCTTGGTGAACTTCCCAAAACAGACCCCCAAGGACATCAAGTTCTGTCTAGAGACGGAGGTGGCAAACTTAGCGATTTTCTCGCTGACATAGTAGACTCTGTCCTTCTGCAACCTGAACACATGCGGGTCCTCCTTGTTGTCGATTAAGAATGTGATGTTTCTACCGATGTAGTTGGCCAACTTTTCGAACACAACCTTGGTTTCTTCCTCTGTCAACGGTCTCATTGTGAATATGGCTTAACAAAATACCTTGTCTTTGAGGGCTGGTCTCACCGCTTATATTTTTCTCTGCAGTACATAAAAAATTTCAGAAAAATTCCAGGCGGGTAACGGCATCACATCCGGCATGTAGCAAAATTTTTCACTTGATAAACAGTCGCATCCTGCGACGAGAGAAAGGACCTTGCTGACCAACCATCGCCATGTCTGGAATTGCCCCAACCCCCGAAGACCTGGTTAAGACCGAGACTAAACAGGTTATCCAGACCACCATCTCAGCTGAAGCCACCCATGTTGCAGCGGTTGAAGCCACCAATGTTGAGACTGATAAAGTGGCTCCGGCCGACAAGAGAAAGAGTGAGCGCCAGCACGGTCGCGACAGAAAGAAGCGGAACATCGCTGAGAAAGAGGAGCGCAAAGCCATGTAGGTATGTTTTCCACCGTATGGCTTGACCATTACTAACAACACAGAGTGTATACACCCCGCATGGACGCGGACGGGAACCCAATCGCGAGGACCGAGGAGAGAAAGCCCAAGAAGAAGGTGGCGTGCTTGATTGGCTACTGCGGAACCGGCTACCAGGGGATGCAGCTTAATCCCGGGTGCAAAACCATCGAGGGGGAGCTCTTCGGTGCCTTTGTCAAGGCCGGGGCTATTTCCCAGGACAATGCCGACGACTTGAAAAAGTCTGGGTTCATGAGAGCGGCCAGAACCGATAAGGGCGTGCATGCGGCCGGTAACGTGATCTCGCTCAAGATGATTATCGAGGATCCAGAGCTTTTGAGCAAGGTCAATGAGGAGTTGCCAGAGCAGATCAAGGTCTGGGGTATCGAGCGCACCAACAAATCGTTTGACTGCCGCAAAATGTGCTCTTCTCGGGTCTACGAGTACTTAATTCCGTCCTACGCGTTCCTCCCACCGAAACCAACCTCCAGATTGGGCCAGTTGATCGAGGAAGGCAAGATGGAGTTCCCTGGCAGCACCAGAGAGGACCCTGTAGGCTACCAGTGGTGGAGCGACCTCAGTGACGCGGTTGCGGCTGCGGGGGTTACCGCGGCGGACCTTGCGGCCATCCAGGAGCACGCAGGGGAGAACCCAATGGGCGAAAACGGGTTGACTGAGGTTGGTGCGTTGGCCAAGAAGGTTAGAGGCATTGAAAACGGTGCAAGAAGGGCCTTCAGAATTGACGCCGACAAGCTCAACTTGTTTAGAACGGCGTTGCAAAACTTTGTCGGGCCGCACAACTTCCATAACTACACCTTGGGGAAGCACTTCAAGGATCCAAGCGCCAACAGATACATGAAGTCGCTCTCTGTATCGGAGCCGTTCGTCATCGATGGCACCGAGTGGTTATCTGTGAAGATCCACGGCCAATCGTTCATGTTGCATCAGATCAGAAAGATGATTTCCATGTCGTCAATGGTGGTCAGAACTGGCTGTCCGTTGGACAGAATTACCGAGGCGTTCGAGCAGGCCAAGATCAATATCCCCAAGGCCCCTGCCTTGGGGTTGTTGTTGGAACAGCCGGTCTACGAGGCGTACAACGCCAAGTTGGAAACCTTTGGCTACGAGCCAATCACCTTTGAGAGGCACGCGAAGGAGATGGATGCGTTCAAGATGAAGTACATTTATGACAAGATCTACAACGAAGAGGTCAAGGAGAATGTGTTTTGGGCGTTCTATAACTTCATCGACCACTATGTTTCGGAGGACGACACCTTTGCGTTTTTCACCGCCAAGGGCATCAACAAGGACCAAAAGGTGAATGTCAAGGAGATTGTCATTCCAAACGAGAGTAATGCGAATATTGAGGAGTAGGTGGAGGTGTTGTGGACAACCACTACCATTAAGCGAGACGTGCTTGTGTATTCTACGAACCGAAATATAAATCTAGTTTACCCGAATTCCTGATTCTGTAAAATAGAGTTTTGTGTGGCCATTATTAACGTATACCACGACTAGCTGCTGTAAGTGAGAGCTTAACTCACGGAAAGAGCGCAACGTATTACAGGTCTATTCATTGCCACTTCGTGTTGGTTACCCTCAATATAAAAAGGGCAGATATCCATACCTGTCTTTTATCATTGATTACTCATGAATATGGCCCCGCATACCAATGCATGCTAGACTGCAAGCTCCTCTAAACATTCGCATAACCTACCACCTCGAGCCACACACTTATTTCGCACTCACAAATGGTTTCACTCAGTTAAAGTATAAACGGACAAGCTAAGAAGCCCTTATATGCCCATAACAATAAGCTCTATGGCCAGTCTATCTGCCCTCCTCTGTAGTGCTCCGTAGCAGGACTACAGCACAGCGTAAAATCTGTGGCTCTGCGTACACCCCAGACCGCTACTGAAAAATTCACCAACGTAAAAGCACCATCGCTCGATCTGCTTCCACTCTCCTCTCCATACACCCACACAATGTTGAGAGCCCAGATCACCCGGAACGTGTCCCTCTTACACGCTAGAGCCTTCCAGACCGCGACGCCGCTTTCCAAGGGCGCAGCCAAGGTTGTTGCCACGAAAAAGAGAAAGCAGACATTCAACCCGTCCAAGGGCAAGAGCGGCGAGAAGGCAACCAGAGCGGCAGGGTCGTCCGTCAAGGGCTTTGTGCACGAAGTTTCCTTCACGGGCTACAACAAGGGCGCGGAGAACATTGCCATTGCGGCGTTGGGTGCCGGCGCGTTGCAGAAGGGTACGGTGTGCGCGTTTGAGGGTGCGACGCGTCGTGACCTTGCGCACTTCGGGTCCTTCCACAAGCTTCAGTACCACGAGTTGTTCAAAAACCCAATCTCCTTAGTCCGAGATGAGACTCTCCAGGTGGATGCCTATGTGCAGAAGGCCGTAACCTCTCCTTCCAGCGAAAACGTCTTGTTGGTGTCGGGTAAGGGCGGTGCGGGGAAGACCAGTTTGTTGGCGCAAGCGCATGCCCTCGCGTTGCAGCGCGCAGCGATTGTGTTGCCGATCAACAACGCGGACAGCTTGGTGGACGGGTCCAACGACTTTTTGCTCAACACCGAGACCGGCCGCTACCAACAGCCGATGTTCGTGAAGAACTTTTTGCACAAGATTCTCTGCGGGAACAAGGCGGCGCTCCAGGCGCTCAAGTTGTCCCAAGAGTACGTGTCGCATTACAAGGGGAAGCAGACCAAGTACGACGCCCAGACCTCGCTCTACGACTACATTAAGTCCGTTAGAACGTCGCTCGACACCAAGAACAACGCGTATTTCGCAACCATCATCGCCGAGTTGGCCAAACAAGACCAGTTTCCGGTCTTTTTTACCGTCGACAAGTTCTCCACCTTCACGCACAACCCATACACTCAGTACAGAAACACCGAGAACGCGCCGATCCACTTCTCCGACTTTGAGTTACCCGCGCTTTTGCTCGATTTTGTCAGTGGCGCCCAAAGCTTCAAGCGAGGTGGTGTCATCTTGGCCACTTCTGATGTCCACAAGCGCAACGACACCTTCCGTGTAATGTTGGGCGAGATGCAGCCGCGCCCGTACGTGTCTGTAGAGGAGTACGACCCAACGGTGGGTCAGGTCTTTTTGCAGAAGAAGGTTCAGCGGTTGGCTGTCGCGCCATTGGATCTTGCCGAGATCAGGGCGCTCACGCAGACGTTTATCGCCGCCAAGGTGATTCCCGAGAAGGAGGCCGAGAAGTTGGAGGACGAAGAGGCGTTTGCATCGTATGTCAAACAGAAGTATGTGTTGAGTGGGAATGGGAACTTCAGAGAGTTGCTCAAGTCTGTGGTGCTCTTCTACTAGAGGGCGCCGATATGTATATAGTCAAAAAGGTGCCGGGCAGAGAGCTCGAGCTTAGCATAAGGTTGGATGTAGGAGCTCTACAAGGGGGGAATTAGAGGGTTGGGAGATTTCGCCAAAGACCCAGAGTTTAAGGGGATTTGGTGTCCTGTGTAAAAGCAAGAGATATGGTTGTGAGTAAGGACATAGAACTGAGTCAGTAGAGAAGAAGGGGATTCGGAGGGGTAAAGGTATAAGATAGGCTGGAGAATGGTAATATAAGATTACCTTGCACTTGGTTGAAAGCTCACCTTCGTACGGCTAGACATGTTGATTTAGTTGCTTGAAAACATCATTTGATTTAATATACGCCTATAGATACGCAAGCTCTGCCTTGAAACGTAAAAAGTACCATATTTAAGAATCAGATAAATTCAGATAAAGCCCAAGCACATTGTGTCATCGGAGTGCCATCGACGTTGTGCTTGGAAGTTCAGCTCAGTTATAACCAGCGTCCGCCACACATAATTCCAAATTACGGGAGAAGAATAAAACTTGGATATAAAAATCTGAGATTTTGGATTGAGGGAACTTCCAAACTAACAATCTTCCTATAATGGATTGTCTCTCTGGTCAGCTGTACGAGGCGTGCTTGACACATTTCCAGCGCTTGTGTTTGTTTACCTTTCCGGATCGGTCTGCAACTCTAAACAAATATCAAAAACCACAGCTAGAACATACTTATCCCATTCTATTCCACTCGACCGCTAGATCTGCCACCCATGCCTGCAGAAGATATTGGCCCCAAGCTCTCAAAGGTGGCGGTGTCAGACAGGCCCCAAAAGGTATGTGGCCTTCTTCTCCACCAAACGCAATACTAACACTCACAGAATTTACAGCGAAACCCGTTGACAAAGATACAGCTAAACTCCAGCCGAATGTCACAGACCAGGCAGTGGAAGCCCACCAATATCTCATGCAAGAAGATTTCCGTTTCGCCCCGTCGCGTACCCAATTCTGCCAACTACCTTAGCTCCACCATATCGTCGTCTCTATCGTCTGCTCCCGTTCTCCGGAAGGATATTAGAAAAGACGGAAGAACGTCTATAGCCGGAGATAGAACTCTGATGGCTAGAATATCGGTTAACAGAACGTCCATGGCTAGGGATAGAGCGTCGTTGACCAAAGACAGAACCTTGTCCAAAGATAGAACAAATGACAAAGATAGAACGCGGCAGGTTCTCCCGCCCGACAGAACTTCGTTGATTCGCAACGATGCATCCCTGAGTTTCATATCTCTTACTTCCCGAACACTGTCTCGCCTTAGCAGAGGCTATCTGAATCCCCTCCACGGGCTCACTCAGCCCACGCCGCGTGTGTACTGCTTGGAGGACTTTGAGATAGGCCGGAAGCTCGGAAAAGGCAAGTTTGGAAAGGTCTACTGTGTCAAAGACAAACAAACAGGCTTCATCTGTGCGTTGAAGGTGATGGAAAAGAAGGAACTAAGCGAGTACAAAGTGGAGAAGCAGTTTCGACGGGAGGTGGAAATCCAACTGAACCTCCGACACCCCAACATCTTGCGGTTGTATGGCTACTTCTACGACGCTACACGGGTGTATCTCATTCTTGAGTACCTGGTCAATGGCGAGCTTTACAAGTTGTTGAAGCAGAAGGGCCAGTTCTCCGACGTTAGCGCCTCCCATTACATCTACCAGATGGCGCTCGCGATCCGCTACTTGCACCAGAAAAACATCATCCACCGGGACATTAAGCCCGAAAACATTCTCCTAGGCTTCAACGATGTGGTCAAGATTAGTGATTTTGGCTGGTCCGTGCACTCGCTCTCCAGCAGCAAGCGCGCCACCATGTGCGGGACCCTCGACTACCTTCCGCCGGAAATGGTTGAATCCAAAGACTACACCGAAAAGGTAGATGTGTGGTCTTTGGGCGTGTTGTGCTACGAGTTTCTTGTGGGTAAGCCTCCCTTTGAGGAGGACTACAAGAACGCCACGTACCGACGCATTGCAAAGGTGGACTTGCAAATCCCCAGTTTCGTCAGCCACGATGCGGCGGATTTCATCCAGCAGTTGCTCCAGCACGACCCGGAAAGGCGGTTTGACCTCAACCAGGTCGAGCACCATCCGTGGATTGTAAAGAACCGGCCGTTCTGGCCGATCAAGAAGTGAAAGGTGTAAACTGTTTTCATGATTATTAATTTAGACATATATCTAACCTGTAGTATGCCGATTCTTGCGCAGTCAAAGGATTGTTGTAGTTGACTTCCCTAATTGGGTCTTTGGATTCCTAATCGCATGCAACCAAGGTTGTAAATAGCTTCTAGCCCATGTCACTTGCTTGGCGTTTGAAATATATCAAATATAGGGCCACACCCACCCATTCAGATGATTCGGTACCAGCGTGCAACTTTCTTCACTATACATTATATACGTAAAGGTATAGCCCGAGAAAAACGTTCAAGACTCGCAGGTTCAGACCTCATCTTTATAATGATTTATGATACAATTGGCCCACATTTTAACATGACGTATTCCACGACCCATTGAATCTCCATCTCACTTTGAAACCCAGACGTTGCATTCAAAACAATCACCCCCACCTACTTATCCAGTTTACCATCTTGGCTCTGCACGATACCAAGGATTATATACATATTTACAGGTTGAAGCCCCAGCCTCGAGCTCCCGCCTAGGCAAGCGGAATCTGCTTCTTCACCACCGCCGGAAGACCCTTCACCCAGCCTTTATCCTGGTTATTCACAATCATAAACACCCTCCCCTTCGTGTTCATCCTTCCGGTTCTCCCCGCCCTATGGACCAAATCAATTGACGTGTTTGGCACATGGTACAAAACCACGTTCTTAATCCCGTGGAAGTTCAACCCCCTCGCGAGCACATCCGTTGTCACCAACACCTTCAACTGCGACTGAATCTCGCCTGTCTCACCGATATCTTCCAATCGTCTAGGTGGGTTCAAGAACAACGCAATCTTCTCACCTCTGGTGTCTGCCGAATCACCATCACGGCCGCCCATAATAGTCGTCACATCATGGCCGTACGTCTCCACCAACAACTCGCCCAACTTCTCAATGTCCTTCTTTTCGTTCACAAAGATAAGCACCCGCTTTTCAAACCCCTGCTCGGTCCCGTCCTTGTGGATGGCGTACAAAATCTGCGCCAACGCCTTGTTTCGCGAACCCTTGTATGGCGCGGCGGCGGCATCGATGACCTTGAAGTCAATGGACTTTGGGATCTTGTGGATCTTCGCAGTGGCGATCGGAGTCGCCACGGGGAACAACTTTTCCACGGTCCTGTTGAACTCCCTCGGGATGGTCGCACTCACAAACACCAAATCGGTCGTGTTCGGACACAACTGGATGCAGTCGTACGTATCCTCGACCCAGGATTTGTCCATCAACGTATCGGCCTCATCCACCGCGATGTACTTTACCTGCTGGAACAACTTCAGCGGCGAGTTGAGCCGTCTCAAGGTGGTGATCGTCTTGAGTTTGTTCGGCGTAGTCACCATGACATCAATTCGGTGCTCGAGCTTGTCAAACAACTCGTTGTATGGGGTGCCACCGCCCCACTTGAAGACGTTGAGGCCCAAATCTTCACTGACCGCCGCGAGAGTACCGTAAACCTGGGTGAGCAACTCATGTGTCGGGACCAAAACCACCGCCCGGATCTGCTGTTTGTCTTTGATTATATCCCAGCCAGCAGCCAACTCATCCTCCTTCAACTTAGAGAGCATCGGCGCGAGGTACGCCCACGTCTTCCCCGACCCAGTTTCCGCCGACAACACAAACGTCCTGAGCTCCTCCGGGTTCCTGCGCTTTTCCTGCATGATCTTGATTGCTGCCGCCTGTATCTCCGTTGGCTTGAGGTCTAAAACAATCTCCTCTGGCACCTGACGCTGCGAGCGCTTCGTCATCAAGTGGCGGTTGCTGTTGATATCGCGGCACACGCTGTTGGTGGTGAGTTCCTTAACAATAGCCGATCGGACGTCTGGTACGAGTCTGAGCTGCTTGAAATCATCTATTTTCGATGCGAGCTTTGTAATCCCTTCCATGGATCGGGTAGCCGGCTGGTGCAAGCCCGAAAAATCGCCGTATCCGTACGGCTGCACCGCAGCGTCCTTTTGGTTCTTTTCCGCCTTACCTTTGGAATCGAGGAGTCTCGGATTTGGCTTGGAGCCCTTGGTTGGGGTAAGCTTGGAGCCCTTGACCAGGGCAAGCTTGGCGCCCTTAGTGTTTGGGGGGCCCTTACTGGGGAGGCGGTCGGATTTTGTTTTGCCAGAGGGGCGGAACACGTTTTGTTTGACATTGCGGCCCAAGACTCGTTTGTGCGCCGATCGGGAGGCGTTTCGCACGAACAATGTGCTCACAGAGGTAAACAGAAACATCAGGTGGATATAGGGAGATCAAGTGAGCATAGGGTCAGATATGAAAATTTATGCAGCCGCAGGAAAAATAGAGGCAAAAAAATATAAGGATCACGTGAGGCGATAACGTGGTCACATGAAGGTTGTTTTCCGATTAATGAATATGTAGTTTGACAATTGTCACAAAACCAGTGAGACTAAGCTTAATATCTTATTTGGTATAGTATTAAAAAAACCAGCGGGACCGAGCGTAATATTTTGTTTAATATAGTATTTCAAAGCTGAGCAAATGGAGGGTATTGAACTTTCGTCTTTAGCTGGTTTTTCTAAATCTTTTTAATATACCCGACGATTGCCAAAATCACAGTACGTTATATTCATAATAGTATCAGTTCAACTAGATCCTATATCTCATAAGTTTCTGCCAGATTGGAGGGGTCTTATGACAAGAAACTTAAACCTTCGAGCTGCTCCCTTACCAGGCATTAGGGAAAGAACTTTTACGCATTCTTTATTTTCCGTTCGCTCTCGCAACGCCATTTAGTCAGTGCCAATTCACTGATAAAGTGGACGCTGGAATGCTCAACGAGATAATTTCATACTCATTCATTTGTCCAAATTCGCAGTGGATCTCTCCAGCCTTCACACACTAACAAACGATAATGCGTGCTTACAGGCAGGTCACGGTCATGCCAGGCTCTACTCAGCATCCCAACCCAGGGATCTAAATATCAGCATAAATATCGTACAATCAAAAATTCCCCTCATAAATATCCCTTTATATCCACCAACATTCAGTTTTTACGATAAAGAAACTCCCCATCACACTCCACGAAACCCACCCGAGAACGCAGCCCTCGGTGGCTTTATCCTGCACTTACTCGACGAAAATTACACCATCCCGACGTTCAACAAAAAGAGTCTCTTCTCATCACATCATCTGAGACTATTGTGCATCCTAGACCTAACCATGTCATCGGTATCTGACCTCCTTACTCAGTTGAAGCTCCATGCAGCGAACGACGCCCACGCGGAGGTGTACGCGCTCGCGCGCACGTATTTAGCTGCCCACCCCGCGAGCCTGGTGGCGTTGAAGAGCGCGCTCGTGGCATTGGTCAAAATGGACCGCTACGCGACTGCCAGCACACTCTTGGTGAAATACCCCGCAGCGGTTGAGGAAAATCCGGCAGCAGTGCTCGTGGAGCAGGCGTACGTCTACTACAAGCTTAACCGGTCCAAGGACTTGCAGCAGTTGGTGCCGCTTTCGACGCCGGATCGCGCTTTGAAGCACATCTTAGCCCAGGACTTGTACAGAGCCGGCGAAAGCGACAAGGCATTGAAGCTCTACCGTCTGTTGATCCAGGATAACCGCAACTTGGACGACGAAACGGAGTTGGGCTGCAATGAGAGAGCGGTTCTTTCTCAGAACCCGACTTCCGCGCCGTTGACGCCAGACTCCGCGTCCACAGACCAGCAGTTCAACACCGCATTGATCCAGATCGCGCGGAAGGAGTACTCGCGCGCGATCGCGACGTTACTGGCCGCGCATGACCCGGCCGCGCGCATCCAGACCGCTTACGCGCACCAGATGCTTGGGGAAACCGATACCGCGGCCGCCATCTTAAAGGCGTTGGATCTCGATGATTCATTTGACAAGCTCATTGCCGCGAACAATCTCTACTCATTAGGGGAGAAAGACGCTCTTTCCGTGACGTTCTCCTTTGCCAATGCCTTGCAGGGGCTCCGTCCAGCGTTGACCACTGCCCAGGTGGGTGCCCTTGAAAGGAACCAGGCGGTTTTGGCGCACCTTTTGGGGAAGAAAGTCACCTCTGATCCCGACGCTAGCAGCTCGCTCTTACCTGCTTCCCTCGCGGTTTTGAGCAGGTACAATATTAATATCCAGCTCTCTGCGGACGCCAAAGCGGACGCCAAGGTTTTGTACCACAAGTCGCTTGCCCGCCCAAATGACTTGCCCTTGGCTTTGACAGCTGCGCAGTTCAACTGCGACGTGAAGAATTTTGACAACGCGGTGTTGGTCTTGGAAAACGTCTTTGCACACAATACGCAGGAGGCCGAGCACTTGTTGGCCAGGCCGGGCATCACTGGCTTGTTGTTAGCGTTGTACGAGCAGCTCAAGCGTGAAAAGGCCGCCGTCAGCTTGTTGGCCCGGATCTCCGACTACTATTCCTTCAAGCTTGTGGATGACAACTTTGAGGAGTTTCAGTATGTGAAGCGCATCGCCTTTAAGTTGTTGCCGCACGATTCAGCCAAGGCCCACCGTCTCTTGGAGGAGTTGTCGATGTCCTGTGACTTTGCCGAGGACGATGTGTTGATCCAGTCGTTCTTGAACAAGACCGATGAGGGGTTGACCACCGTGGAAGCGTTGACCGCGGCCCACAGCGTGGACGCGTTAATGGAACAGGGCCTTGACAATGTCGTGGTTAGTACCCGCAAGAAGTCCCACAAGATCTCTAAGGCTAGAAGAAATGCCAAGTATCCGAAGGCGCTCCTCAGCCAGATTGATGCCACCTTACCGAAGGCCGAGCAGCGCCAGCAGTTGCACGCGTTGTTGGCCAAGAAGCCAGCAGACGACGAGAGATGGTTGCCGTTAAAGGACAGATCCACCTTCAGACCGAAGAAGGGTAAAGGCAAGACCGCTACCCAGGGCTCCATCAGCGGCGTCGCCGTCGACGACAAGCTCGAGGATGGCATTCCGGCGCCAAAGGCCAAAAAGGTTGTCCCAAAGAGTAAGAAAAAGAAGGGCAAGAAATAGTGTACAGTAATGATTGAAGTGAAAATGAAAGACGGTAGTGTAAGCGAGACGGCTGAATGAAAGTTTGAGGGGAAAGTAGCAGAGGCGCATGAAGTGTAGAGTCACAGAGCTTACGATAATTTCCAGGCTACAACCCAGTCTTAATTATCTGTTTACCATGTGTAACAAAGTTCGTAAACAGAATATATGCTAAAATTCAAACAGAAAACGTGCAGCAGATCCAGTATTCCAGCTACGCTCTACCTATGCTTCGGACTACCCCAGAGAAACTCAACCAACTTTGTCAAGCTTCGTTGAAATAGCAAGCCCAAGCTAATTCCGCTTTTATACAACATCCCTCCGGGACTTCAGTCTCGGGCGTTATGCCCTACTGAACATCCCAAACAACAAATCTACAGCCTCAACCTCCTCATTCTCCACCGGATGGTCGAACAAAAACTCCGGCTTGAACGGCCACATGGAAAAAGTTTTCGAAACCAACACCCATTCGTCGGCCGTCAACTCTCGTGGTTTCCTCTGCAACACCCCCGAGAGTTGCTCCGAGAAGTACTCCTTGCTCCCCGCGCCCAACACCATCAACGCTGTTTCCAAACGGACATTTCGGAGCATCATCAACTGCTTCACAACATATTCAAAACTGTCTAGATCGAGAGCGTGGTTGCATGGCTTGATGTCAAGAAGACTAATCTCCTGCGTCATGCTGTGCACCTTGTAGTCGGTTTCAGGCTCGAGGAGAATTGGGTCGTAGCGTGCCAAGTCCGCAGCAGACCACGTTTCCGAGCTCTTGGGGGCTGTGGTGGCAACAAGTGTGGTATCGGTGAACTGCTCACCGAAAATCGCGAGCCGGCCGCGTTTCGGCGAACCCGCGGGTGCAAGCAACTTGGACGCAGTCGCGGCATTGGTCCACACCAACATGCGCGCGCGGCCGTACTTCTGGAGCCAGTTCCGGTTGCCAATGCACCCAAGCCAGCGCATCAACGTCTTTTCGGCGTACTTGGGGTTGGTGATGTTTGCGCTGATGAGAAATGCCGGGTGGAGGTTCGTGCGCGCTGCCTTCCGCGGGGTAAGGTATCCCTCCGCTATCATTTCGCTGTAGCTTTCCCAGTGGCGCGGGTCCTTGACCGCTTTCTGGAGATTTGTGTGCATAGCAGCGTTTATTTTTGCGTAGAAATCCCCGTGGAAGTCTGCTTCGCTCCCCATCACCACATGCTGGTGCGGTTTGAGGTGCTCGTTGACCAAGCCGGAAAACAATCCGTTGTTTGGGAAAATATCGAGGATAGCGAGATCGGAGCCGTAGGTGTCGCGCAAAGCCACTTTTTGGAGGATTTTGGCAACCGTGTAGGGGTTGGAGATGGCAGCGCTGAAACGGCTTGGTTTCATTGTTTGGAAGATGGATGTGGAGGAGACGTTCAGACTCAGCGAGATGGATCTGATAAGGCGCATTGTTCAGCCTTTGTGGTTGATATATAAGGGATTTTGGGAATATGGGATTCGAAAGGGTATAGGAGGATTGTGGTTGATATGTTGACGTGTTAAGGTTGTGTATTACTCCGCTTAATTAGCATTTGACAACGTGGAGCGATCGTGGGTTATGCTTATCTATGACGTAAAGGCTGGCCAACGGGAGGTGCGAATAAAGTTCGCGACACTCTGAAACGGGCTGTACAGTTAGTGAATGATCGAAACGGGCGATTTAGTTTAACAGTCGGTACGGCTGGATAATGAATAATTGTCGGCCTATATAGAAATATATCGGCAAACTAGAGACAAAATATAGAGCAAGAAGAAAAAAAAAGTTCCCGCCAGACTGGAACAATCTCTCATGAAAATTACTTGTGAGTAGTTGGGGTCGACCTGGCCATGGAGATCTGAACGTATCGGACTCCGACAATTTGTGCTTTCCAAATGGTGCTTGCTCTTCTCTAATACTATTTTCACATATATTAACATACTATAGACTCAGATAGCTCCACTATCTTCGTTATCCTCGCTCTCGCTCTCCTCAACCTCCTCCTGCCCGTAGTTGAGCGGATCGTATTGGCCCCTAACACTGTCCCTGGCTCTGGTCTCCTCCACCGTCGGTTCCGTCAACGAAAAGTTGATCGCGTCAATCGTGTTGTCTTCCACCACCTTCTTCAACGCGGGCGGCACTCTTCTAGTGGAGAGATCGATTCTCCCGCCGATTGGTAAGAAAACGGCGGTACTATTCTCGCGGTGCAACTCAACGGCCAACTCGTCGGTTCTGGCAAAACGGTTGAATTTCATTTCGTAGTCTCTAATTCGCTTGAACGAGAAGGTCTCGCTCTCGTCTAAGCCATGTGCGGGGTTGGCCTCACCGAACTTGCGCTTCAATGTATCGGAGGCAGCTTGTGAGGTCTTGTAGAAGGAGATCCATTCACCAGAGTCTAAGGTGGTCGGCTTGAAGATAGACGTATCCAACGCCTCTCCCGCGGACTTGTGTTGCTCGCGCGATAATGCCGCGGAGTTTACGAACTTGATCGTCATGTAATTCTGGTCCATAGCCGACGTGTCTGGTAAAAACGCCCACGTCTTCTTTGCCGTGAGGTGGGCCTTCTTTGGGTGTTTCAACGACGCCACGTCTGTGTCCAAACAAAACTGGAACGTGGCTTCCACCGCTGCCACTTGCGACTCGGGGTCGATGGCCTGCGCCTCTACCCGCTTCTTGTCCCCAGAATACCCCAGAATGGTGCTTCTTTTCTCTGAAATATACTCGGTTCTTCTCAAGAAACTCACACCAGGATCCTTGGCGGCCACACGCTCGGCACCTGGATCGCGGAGGAGAATGCGGTCGTCTGGGTGCAAGTCGATATGGTTGTTCAACGCAAACATCGCGCGCTCATCACCGTAATCAAGCACGCCGGGCATCGCTAGCAAGTCCAAGCGCATACCCACGCATCCGACCAAGCTCCGGAAGTTCTCTTTGCGGAAGACCGACGATAACAACGCCGGCGAGTCCACCAGCCCCAAGTCTTCCTGGGGGAGCGAGTTGTATGTGAGCAACTTTGGCGCGCACGGCGGCGGCGGCAAATCGTTCAGAAACCGCGTTCTGGCGATGTATTCCTGTTTGCGCGACATGATGGGCAGCCTAAAAACTGGATGGGGATAAGCAAAACGGAGCTTTTTTGTGTTGGCCATTGGAATGTGGACAGTGCACGACTGTGCGCCGTTCCCCCAGCACGTGATGAGCCGTAAACAACGACTGGTTTGTATACGGGCCATGTCAAGATAAAAAGTGAAATGGAAAGTTTGAAATATTTAACAGTATAGAAAATAATATATGGTATATCCGCTAGTTAGCGGTGTTGGATGAGAGGCTGGGACACTAAATTCTGAAGATTGGACGGTGAAAGCGGGCAGTAGGACTATCCAGGGTAGATAACACTGACTAGTTTTCCAAGAACCGATGGAAGTAGCTTACGAAGCGAGAGGTTTAGCCTAAATTAATGACGGAGTTGAAATCTATTATTTAGGTGATTCAATCAAATAAATGGAGGGCCATAGATTACCGCACTCCAGACTTTATATCTAATGGCCGTTTGGCCGAGTGGTCTAAGGCGTCTGACTCAAGATCAGATCTCGTAAGAGGCAAGCGTTCGAACCGCTTAGCGGTCATTATTTTTTTTTCCTGAGTTTGCTCACTTTTAAACTGTTAATATTTTCCGCGCCAGACGGTCCCCAAAGCCTGTTTTTTATTAACATCTCACTTTAAGTGTATAGACCTTTCACAGTACCCGCTGATCTCCCTGAAGGCTTCAACAAAAAGGTGGTATAGGAAGGAAACAGAAAAAGGTGGATAATGATCCAGCCTTTAATCATACTCGCACGTAGATTATCTTGAAACGGTATATACTTAATTATAATACACGTCCCGAAAAGGTTACAAGTAGAACGATGCTCAAGACGGCAACACTAGGAATCCGGAATGATATCATAAACGTGCAACCAAGAGACAAAAACATAACACACACCAAGCGTTGTGAATGTCTGCCGTTTTGCACCTACTTCTTATTATAAAGAGCAACAGCAAGCAACATCACTGCACATACAAACCTCCAACTGGAACTCACCGCCTGTTCATACCGATACACCTGCGGCAGAATCTCCTCCAACGTCGCTTCAATCTGGCTGGTCATAGCATCCCGCGAAAACAAGTCTTTGACCCGCTTTGGCCCGTTTTTCTGAATCTGGGCCACCACGTCCCGATGGATATCCTCCGTAATCAACTTCAACACCTGGGCCCAGAGCACATAGTCAGATGCAACGTTGAACCCGGTAGCCGCTGTTTTGTCATCAAAGTAGCTGACAATGCTTTCGAGCGGTCCTCCGGTATCAGTGGCAATGACCAACGTTCCGCACCGCATGCCCTCCAATGGGACAATCCCAAAATGCTCGTTGGTTGGGGTGTACAACAAGGCCAGCGCGGCTTTCAACAACTCGTCCTTAACCCCGGAGGAAACGGACGGCATGAAAATCACATCCGTGTTCATCGGCATGGCAATTAACTTTCCGCGCAAAACAATTGACTTGAGATGCAAGGAAGACGCCAAGGCCTCAAGCTCACGGAGATATTCAACGTTTTCGCGTACCCGCGCGTCGTAACCCCCCGCGATAACCAACTTGACCTTGGTGGGGTCGCTACGCGCTGTCTTGTACTCTGCAAACGCCTGCAACGCCAACTCGATATTCTTTTTACGCTCAAATCGATTTATCGAGAGAAAGTACTGCGCCCCCTGGAAAAATGCAGACACTTCAGTGGCCAACGCTGCGTTCTCCGGGATGGCCGTGTCCACACACGGATACACCACCGACACATTCTCCAAGTCAATGCGCTGGAACGCCTTTTCAAACATCGACTGAGTGAATTTAGAGTTCACAACAATCTTGTCGGCACAGCCAGTGGTGAGCTCTTCCAAGGTGTCAAATGGCTTGCGGTAGAGCGCCTTGAGGGCAGACTCGCGTGGCGCAAGGAACTGGTCCGGAAAATGGCCGTAGAAGAGCACCTTAGCAGATTTGTGTTTGAAGTAGTGGATAAGCGGAATCGCGACAGACAACTGGTCGACAATAAACACGTCGATCTGCGCGATCCGCCCCGTGAGCACCAACGCAAGCGTCAAGTACAACTGTCTCAAGATGGCAAACACGATATGGAGCTTCCCGAGCACCTTTGTCGGCAACCAATCACCATAAACCACCGTATCGAGTGCCCCCGATGAAACCTCCTCAAAACAGTGGGTCTTATCGCAATGGGAGGTGTACATCGTGACCGTGTTGCCGTTATTTTGAAGGCCAACCGCCGCGTCAACTACCAACCGCTCGGCACCGCCTGTGGGTGTTAGTCTGGAAAGGATAGAGCAGGAAACGAAAATAGCATACCGATGCCCAAATCTGGGTGAATAAACGCAACTCTCATGGATGGGTTGAGGTTGTATGAGCACAAAACGCTGTCGTGTTACGTTAGATTTAACCCAGCGCATGTGTGAGCCGCATCTGACCTGAAAACTTCCCTTCCAGGCCTTGCCCTTCTCCTTTTCATCCTACCTATTTACAAATTGGCCACCATGCCACTAGTATGCCTGTCTTATATCCTACCCCTCGTTTTTTATATACCTGGATATTCCGTCCATAAAATCGTTATAATACATATATCTAATCGGAAAGCTCGTACTCATCGGGGTCCTCGTACTGTGGAACATCATTATCCGGCTTTTCCACCTTTTGGCGTTTGGCTTCCTCCTCGTGAACCTCGGCCTGGTGCTTCACAGGCGGCGGCGGCGGGTTCATCGACCGATTCTTCCGTCTCTGCTCTTCATTATGCGCAATTTGCTCGGCCGCGGCAATCAACTCTTCCTTCGTGACCGAATCTTCAATGCTCTGCATGACCTTTTCAACCGTCGACATGTGATTCGCGTTGGCTTTATCGTCGCGGAAACGCAACATGCGCCACGCACCATCCTCGCGGCGACACTCAGCGATCCGCCCGTTAAGCGGCTCGTCGAGTAGCTTCAACTCCTCCCATTCGGTCTCAGTCACCGTAAGAATATTAAACTTTTCGTATTCCCTATCCCCTAACCATGCCAACAAATCAATTGCCGGCTTAGAGTCGTAGTCGAGATACTTTCTCTGGGGGTCGTCGTCCGGCAAATCCTCATCCACATACTCACGGAAGTGCAAGTCGAGCTTGAAGTCGATTGTGTTTTCCTCCGCGGGCTTCCACTTGAGCAACGTGTTATCTGTTCCGGAAACGTACGGTGCGTGGTCACACGTGAAAATCAAGCCATCGGAAACGTGCGGGAGGTTGGGGACTTGTGCGAAAACCTTGGGGATTCGCGAGCTCGTTGTTAACTGCTTCATTGTCACCTTGAAGGGGTAGCCCGCCACCACGTCCGGGTGCTTTTCCTTGAACTTGAGGTATGGACGCATAAAGTACATGTCGAGCTGACCCAAGCGCTTGTTGTAATCGTTCTTCACCAACTGCTTGTAGTTGATGGTCAAGCAATCAAACACCAAGAAGCGGATTTCTTTGCCTTTTCCGTCATAGCGGTTACTGTAGACCAACTCACCGTCGATAAGCGTCCCGTTGTGCAACTCCAGAAAGTCATTGTCGCTCAGCTTGGGGAAGAATACGTTGTGGATCTGGTAGAATTCCTGCGACCGCGTGACCATAAACACACCCTGCTGGGTGCCGTCGTGCAACACCAACATCAACACACGCAAGCCGTCCGACTTCTCACACACAAAGTAGTCGCGCGACAAAAGCGTGTCGATGTGATGGCGCGCGAACGACACCGGTTGTGCACCGGGGAACGAGTTTGCCTTGGGGCTGCGCAGGCAGAGGTGGTTCATCTGGCGACGAAGGCCCTCCGCCACATCGGGCGGCACGAGTGAACCGGGGATCTCAGGGGTGCTTCTATCGTGGTCCATCAGATGAAAGTGAGCTGGAGCAGAGGGGAAGGCGATCACAGTGCTTGCATTGCTGATATTTGCGTAGAAGTTTTGTACCGCGTCAACGCGGCATATACCACAGAACATTATTTCGCACGGAAAAAAAAAGGCTTTTGCATAACTGGGGTAGCCAGCATGAGACTTTGGTTTAAATAAACGTGTGTATCCATTACGTCTAACGTAGAGAAGTAACTGTGATAAATGCTATTAAATGGTTATGGCATATCGAGGAACCGTGCGGAGAGAGAAAACAGTTCATCGCATTTGTTAAAGCTGAGAGAATTCTATCCCTATGGGTCGTTACCTGTAGTTAAATCTCCACGCCCAATGCACCATAAAGCTGGGCCAATATAAACAAACGACCTTTATCTTTTGGCACATTGTTTGCAGCTTCAAAGTAACTTCCCGTTCTGATATACCGAATTATCTCCCATGGCTGACCGGAAAACGAGCCGGCTATTTCTCACCTATGGTTAGAGCATCCAACCGAAACTCAGGCAAAAAAAAAAACCAGCGGTGATCCTGTGCAATGTTTAACCCACCACTCAAGAACCTCTCAATATACCTTGGCTCTACATCTACATTTGTTTGCGCATGTACTTCTTATTAAACTAATATACATTGGGGTATAACCCAATTCAAAAAATAGGCAGGAGTGGGAGCGCCGCTGAAAATCAAAACGTCTGCCGTGAATAAAACTGTAGCTCGTAGCCATCAGAATTGGGCCGTATAGAAGGAGCAAAAACAGTTCTTGCGTTGTGCTCCCGGACGGAGATACCTCCACAATATCCCATTATCGCCAATGGCAGTATTTTTGCTCAACAAAAATGAGCATGGTTACCGTGACAATTGCGTCCAAACGCCGCTGGTTTGCGTCGCCAAAAAGCCGTCGGCCACAGACAGAGAAACCAGGTGCACTAGAGATGAATCCCAAGAGAAAAGTGAATTCTCAAATATCCAATCAGAGCCATGTGTGGCTGTATTGCGGGTTCGCCTTAGGATCGGCCTTAGACTGGGCCGCATGGGGCTGTGGCGGGACTGGCGACTGGGCGACCTGCGGTCTGAAAATCTGATACAGCGGGGTCTGCTGAGCAGCTGGCGGCTTGGAAAAGTCCTGGGAGCCGTTCTGTAAGGCCTGTAGCTGCTGGTGGGTAGGGGCGGGGACAGGCTCTGTTTGCTGGACCAACGCTGGCAAGGCGTTCTGGCCAGCCTCCTCCTCCGCTGGCTTGTCGCCGATCTGGCCCTGGCCCTGCTGTTGCTGCTGCTCGGCCTGCTTCTGGTGGTACTTGAAGATAGTCCAGTCGAACACGCAGTCGTATCTGTAGTTCTCCTTCAAGAACAAGTCTCTGAACAAGCGCCTGAGGAAGCTGTAGTCCGGCTTGTCCTCGAAGCGCAAGCCACGAGTGTAGTTGAGGTAGTGGACAAACTCGATAGGCAAGCCCTTGGCCAAGATTTCGGCAGGCGACGTCATCTTCTTCTCCATAATGCGGTCATATTTCTGTCTCTTGGTGGCCGCTTTCAACCCCTGCCATGGCAAGGAGCCGCGGCAGAAGTAGATTAACACGTACCCCAAACTCTCCAAGTCATCTCTTCTGGATTGCTCGATCCCCAAATGGGTGTTGATGGACGCGTATCTGGCGGTCCCGGTCAAATTCTTGTTCTCTCTGTACGGGATGTGCAAGTGGGTTCTCGGGTCGCGGTACTTTTTGGCCAACCCGAAGTCGATCACGTTCACCTGTGAGCCCCTTTTGCCGATCCCCATCAAGAAGTTATCTGGTTTGATGTCTCTGTGGATGAAACAGCGCGCGTGGATGTACTCAATGCGGCACAACAACTGTTCCGCTAATAACAAGACCGTCTTGTAGGTGAACTTGCGGTTACAATAGTTGAACAAGTCCTCTAAGCTCGGGCCCAACAAGTCGATAACCATGGCGTTATAGTCGCATTCGGTCCCGTACCATCTCACAAACGGAATCCCGACCCCGCCGCTCAACGCCTTGTACACCTTCGCTTCGTACTCCAACTGCGGGTGCTTTGCCCGCACATTTTCCAACTTGATGGCGACTTCCTCGCCGGAGATGATGTTGGTCCCGAGGTAGATGTCCCCGAAAGATCCCGAGCCGATCTTGCGGCCGATGCGGTACTTTCTGCCAACTCTCAAGTCCCTAGAATGTTAGTATCGGAGTGTATCAGAAGGCGGAAATCACATACATTATAACTGATAAGGAGGTGTGTTCTCCTGTTTGGTGTATGATTACTTTACTAAAGAATAAAGATGGTGTGATTTAGATCTGTCCGAGGGGAAAGAAGGCTATCTATCGTTTTTGCTGGCGGCTTGTGTTTTGGCCACAGATGTTGCAGAATTGACCCAGCCCAGCGCCAAAAGAAAGAAAAGCAAAGATTTTCTTGGTCCATGCACGCCGAGGCGGGGGGGGG